AATATATCATTCAAAATTTCATTTAATATTGTTTTCATTAAGTTATATTATGTGAAATCGTGTGTGAAGAGATACAGCAACCAGGGTCAGATTACCGCTTTTGACACATTGAAACGAACTTTAGTTGCTAGAGAATGGATATATATATTAAAAATGCCATACTTTGACTTGTTAAAAGTCATATTTGTGGCAATTTGGCGAAAAATATGTCAACATAATGTTTTCGCAATCGAAATACATGTAGTACGGGAAGTCCATAGGGTGACTGGTCAAATTGTTCCATACGTAAAAATATCCTGCAACAGCAATCACCAGTACCAAAATGCTACACTTGTGGTTCTTATAATTTGAAATATATATATAGTAAAAGCTGCAACCAATGTAACACGATATTGGAATATATTATTCCTGATAAAACAATAATTTCAGATACAATTTCTTCGACCATTGCATCTAAATTCTTTGAAGTTGTATCACTGGTGGAGTACATTAATTATTTTCTAGTGTTTGAACTTTGAATTGTTTTTAAGGAAAGATGGAGAAAGTTCCAACTTCAGTAGTCTTGTTATTATAAAATAATTTTGACTGTTCCAAAATCATGAAAGGTTCAATCTCGACATGCTTTAAGTCTTGTTTTTTTTATCATTGCATATCGAGATACGTATCGTATCGTGACCAGAATATCGAGATGCGTATCGTATCGTGACCTTCCTGTATCGTTGCAGCCCTAGTGAATATCGTTGTGTATTTCAAGGCAGGGTAGGTATTAGCATTGCTAGTAAATACCCTTAGCTCTTTTCCACAGTTATAGTGTAATACTATTATTATATTACGCTAATATTTTCCATTATTGAGAACTTTAACTTCGATAGTTCTCCGTAATTGGAGGCCGCATCAATAGTAACTTTTGCAATTAGCGCTTGTTACTTGCACTTTAAACCGCTGTGCAGTTATTATAGTGTCTTACGTTAATTTACCATACATATCTTTATTGGTGGGAGTAAAATTTGTTTGGCAATATCATTCAGACTCCTCCAAGGTGTCAATAGCTGAGTCGCTTGACAACCCCTCGGAGTGCAATACGCACTTAGGCCTCAATCAGATGCCAGATTGGATGGCTGGCCAACTCTCAGCAGTAGCGCTGTCCCCTAGTTCTAATGTCGACAAGAGGGATACGATCTGGTCGCACCCTACGGCCATCCCACCTGACCCCATTTTAAAGGGTATGGTGAAAGAGCTGGACGAGGATTTTTCTCAACTATCCTCTCATGTCTCACCTCATATGGTGGACGGTAGAGTTGAACGTCTTAGGAGGTGTCTCTTTAACAGAGCTATTCCCCACACTACACCTATTCGTAGATGCTTCTCTGCAGGGATGGGATGCGCACCCACAGTACCAGACAGCGTCAACAACCTGGAGTTGGAGGCGCTCATTCTAGCGATAACACATTGCAGGAGCGCCTTTGAAACACCCAACTCCACCGACAACACATGCCTCAAAGTTGCTACTAAAACGGTCGCCAATGCGACCTAATATTCAATTTGTCTACTGTCTAAAATTCAGACGTAGCCTAATAACTACCTTGAGAATATCTTGTGGCGACTAAATTCTATTGTTACACATATGAAGACACAAAAATCAATAAAAGCTGATCTTGGAAAACATGTCTGCTAATAATTGTGCTCGCAAATAATTCCTCCTTAAGTCGACAATGAACCAAAATACCAAAATCAAGTACAGTTTCCACTAATAATCAATTCCAAGACTAGTGCTATGACTTGTACATAAATTATTAATATAATAGTTATTTGATTAAAGATAATTTTAAATGCTTTTGGCTACCTACAATATTGGCGTGACCTCTTAACTTTACCACTGGCTACCTGGAAAATTACTTGTAGACATATGGCTACTTGGTAAAAATGTAAACTTTGAGGCCTGCAACATCACGGTGGTCTGGTGTATTGTCAACGCGCATGTTGACGGGGAATGAGCTCTTGGGCGAATAAAGAACAAAATCGACATCACTGTTCCGGAACACTTTATGCACAACATGTAAACAATAAACAACAATTGCACAATGAGCGGAATACCTGCTCTGACAACACAAACACAGCAATGAACGGACCTTCAAGCTCAGGCATACATGAGGTGAGCGGAGCTCCAGCTCAACCTCAGGACGTTTCCTACGAGCGGCACATCCTGGTCGAGGTCGTCCCTACACCAGCACTCTGAATACCAAGCTTTACTAACACCATGTAATGGTAACACATATATAGTAATGAACAACAATGGACTGACAAAGAGACAATGACGTTGCTTTGGACATTGGACATATGGGCGTGATGAACCGACACAGTTCAGGGGATGATCAATTAAGGCAATAAATGCCATACTATAAAAAGCAGTAGTTAAAGGGAAGTGATATGGTACTCCAGGCTGACTGACAGTCAAAATACAATAAAATGTTGGTGAGGATTAACAACGGGGATTAGTGTCTTATAAATAATGACGATTAAGTTATGGAGACATATACATGTCATGGCTACAGGGTAATTAGCCTTTGGAGTCAAATGTACTTCAGACAATGGTAGTCGTAAATCAGTCGCTATGACAGTATACAGAATCAGGGGACCACTCACTCACACTCCCTGCTCAAACAGACGTTCAGGCTTTTCAACCTCGTGGATCAACTGGGTCTGCGCTTCCTGGTCCATCCCATACCCCAATGTCAGAATGTGCTGGCAGACGCCCTATCCAAGCCAGACAGAGTGGCACCAATGGAGTGGAATCTCATATGTCAGATCCTAGGTCAACCCAACATCAACCTTTTTGACTCACGCCAAAATTATCAGATCCGAATGTACGTTTCTCTGATTCCGCATCCGCAGGCCTGGGCAGTAGATGCACTAAGCATCCCTTGAGAGGTGTTACGCGTTCACTTTTCCACCCCCAGTCCTTTTTCCCAAGGTGATACAAAAGATAAGGGCAACAAGGAGCCTCGCTCTGATTATGGACGTGCCTGGGTGGCCAACGAGAGGGTGGTTCGCGGACCTAAGAAACCTTGCAGGAAGAGAACCACTACCTCTAACGGGGTGGCCCAACCTACTGGTGCATCCACACAGCAGGCAATCTCACCCCACATGAGGCAGGTTTCATCTACACACCTGGTTCATTTACAAAGAGCCCTAGGCAAGAAAGACTATTCGGCACGAGCGGCCAAGGCCATTGTCGTAAGTGGTTATCATTGGAGACCTATTGTAAAGAAAAGGCTCAAGATCCCACTAAAGCCCTGCCTCAATTCCTGGACGAGTATCTACTTTACTTGCGTACCAAACGACACTTGAAGGGAAGCGCCATGACCACGTATTTGGTAGCTTTAAATTCAGGGTTGGCAGTACCTGAGGATCACAAAATGACAATAATTCCGGAACTACAAGCTCTATTACGCTCATTCAGGCTTGAGGATCAGAAGGCCAAATTTCGTCCCCTACCACGGGATTTGGATTAGGTACTTCAGTCTTTGCACGGAGCTCCGTTCAAGCCTCTCCGGGCAACATCATTTTTTAACCTCGCCAAGAAAACAATTTTTCTCTTGGCCTTAACCATGGCAGCCAAAGTGAGCGAAATTCATGCACATCACTCATGTACCCTTCAAGCGAGGTAAGCGGGTAACCTCGGGTTATGCTGGGATTGTATAGCAAAAAAAAAGTTGCCAGGATAACCCAATCAATCTTTCACTATCCCACCATTATCGTGGGAGTGGAATACCAGGATGAATGCTTTTTGTGCTCGGTGCATGCACTATGGGTGTTCATCCACCGCTCCAAGACTAAGCGGGGTACGCAAAAACAATTGTTTATTGCGGTTTCCCATGTGTCCACAGCCTAAGTCAGCCACAATATCATTTCTTTATGGTTGCGAGCTATCATTCTTCAGGCTTGCAAGATTGCTAAACTTGAGTCTCCGAGAGCTAATAACCCCCATAAGTTAAAGGCGGTTGCCTTGACGATGGTTCTACACAGTAATTGTTCTTTTTATTGTGGAAGGATGTTTTTGGAGGTCAGACTCGGCTTTCGCTAGCCACTACCTAAGGGATGTGGCTTCAGAAGACGTTGAGGGTATTCACAGTTTTGGTCCGCTGGTCACAGCACAGCGGGTTACTAACTTGCGACGCCATTAAATCAATTGAATCATGTCCAGAGCCAGAATTTTCCCACTCGCTTAGTTTCAAACACACTTTTTTCTTGATAATTGAACTATGAACACACTCTCATGGCTTGGTAACTCAGTTTCCAAACCCTAGCGCATGCTATTTTCTTTGACTGTTTGTTTACCCGGACATACTCTGGTTACCTTTCCGTGGATCAGTTCCCGATATGCACAGAACAATTGTGCCCTACAGTTGACATGACCTTTAGTTGAGAGAGTTTTATTGAGTACAGATCTGAAGGTATTCCATACCGTTGGATACAGATGCATTGAGGAGTAATGCAGGATAAGTTAAAAAATCTAGTAAAAATAGATATATTTTTTTATTTGTATACATATCCTGCATTACACATGTACTACGTCTAAGGGCCCACCCGTCACAGACCTGCCTCGCCACTATAATATCTTCAGTCAATTTACTGGGGCCAACAGTAATATGAAGTCATCGTATGTCTACCACTTCCGGTATGATGTGGCAGCTAGTGATTGGGGATCCTGCTACGGAACAACATCTTCATTTCTTCAAGCAGGATCAATCACAGCTTTTACTACTGTCAAAGGTGAGCAGTGAATGCATTAGGGAGAAATGCAGGATAAGAACACAAATATAAAACATATCTAGATTATACTAGTTTGCACATGTAGGATCATTGGATCATAGTTTTCATTTGATTTTTACATTAAATAGGTGCAACTGATCAATGTTACCCAAACTCTATCAGAGAATATTGTATGAGAAGTTTTTATATCTAAAATGTATCCTTTAACTATATTGCTTTTCTCTTAGATCTCAGAAGCGCCCCAACCTCTTGAGTGAGACCATCATGGAAGAACAGGGTGCCAGCCCAACACCAGCACAGAACCGCAGGAAGGTAAGACTCAGTAGACCCAGAACACGGGAACCAACCTGTGCTATGTACCTGTGCTTGTTACAGCTTCAGGGCTCACCTGCTGTATACCTGTGCTTGTTACAGCTTCAGGGCTCACCTGCTGTATACCTGTGATTGTTACAGCTTCAGGGCCTCACCTGCTGTATACCTGTGCTTGTTACAGCTTCAGGGCTCACCTGCTGTATACCTGTACTTGTTACAGCTTCGGGGCTCACCTGCTGTATACCTGTGCTTGTTACAGCTTCAGGGCTCACCTGCTGTATACCTGTGCTTGTTACAGCTTCAGGGCTCACCTGCTGTATACCTGTGATTGTTACAGCTTCAGGGCTCACCTGCTGTATACCTGTACTTGTTACAGCTTAGGGCTCACCTGCTGTATATCTGTACTTGTTACAGCTTCAGGGCTCACCTGCTGTATATCTGTACTTGTTACAGCTTCAGTGCTCACCTGCTGTATACCTGTACTTGTTACAGCTTCAGGGCCTCACCTGCTGTATACCTGTACTTGTTACAGCTCCAGGGCTCACCTGCTGTATACCTGTGCTTGTTACAGCTTCAGTGCTCACCTGCTGTATACCTGTACTTGTTACAGCTCCAGGGCTCACCTGCTGTATACCTGTGATTGTTACAGCTCCAGGGCTCACCTGCTGTATACCTGTGCTTGTTACAGCTTCAGTGCTCACCTGCTGTATACCTGTACTTGTTACAGCTCCAGGGCTCACCTGCTGTATACCTGTACTTGTTACAGCTCCAGGGCTCACCTGCTGTATACCTGTACTTGTTACAGCTCCAGGGCTCACCTGCTGTATACCTGTGCTTGTTACAGCTTCAGTGCTCACCTGCTGTATACCTGTACTTGTTACAGCTCCAGGGCTCACCTGCTGTATACCTGTGCTTGTTACAGCTTCAGGGCTCGCCTGCATCTGTGTACAAGATACTCAGTCAGTGATTATTCTCTGACGGTGAACATAGATAAAGAAACTTTCCTTTTGTTCTGCTTTGTTATTACAGTATAGGATTAACGGACATGATCAATTGATGATCATGGAGAATATATCCTATCATATTAGAAATGCAGCATGTTGTTCCACATTGTAGTACCGGTACATGCATTCTCCTGCAGCAAGATGGTGATGTGAACATTGTAACTACATATGTTATTTTGATGTTTCAGAAAGCCACAGGTAGAACAACAGTAAAGAAAAGCAAGCATTTACAGGAATCCTCAGTTTACAGACCCTCTGCTGTGATGAACTCCTCACTAAGGTCGAGGTGAGTATCATTAGATCTCTTCACCAGACTCAACTCAGGCTATCCTTTAGTACCTGCACACTCAGGTCATCCTTCAGTATCTGCACGCTCGGGTCATCCTTCAGTATCTGCACACTCATGTCATCCTTTACTATCTGCACACTCAGGTCATCCTTTACTACCTGAACACTCAGGTTATCCTTCAGTACCTGCACACTCAGGAAATCCTTTAGTACCTGCACACACAGGTCATCCTTCAGTATCTGCACACTCAGGTCATCCTTCAGTACCTGCACACTCAGGTCATCCTTCAGTGTCTGCACACTCATGTCATCCTTTAGTACCTGCACACTGAGGACATCCTTCAGTATCTGCACACTCAGGACATCCTTCAGTACCTGCACACTCAGGTCTTTCGTCCGTGTCTGCACACTTAGGTCATCCTTCAGTATCTGCCCACTCAGGTCTTCCTAACTCAGGTCTTCCTTTAGACTGCACACTCAGGTCTTCCTTCAGTACCTGCACACTCAGGTCATCCTTCAGTATCTGCACACTCAGGCAATCCTTTAGTGCCTGCACAGTCAGGTCATCCTTTAGTACCTGCACACTCAGGTCATCCTTCAGTACCTGCACACTGAGGACATCCTTCAGTACCTGCACTTCTCAGGACATCCTTTAGTACCTGCACACTCAGGTCATCCTTTAGTACCTGCACACTCAGGTCATCCTTTAGTGCCTGCACACTCAGGACATCCTTAAGTACCTGCACACTCAGGTCATCCTTTAGTACCTGCACACTCAGGTCATCCTTTAGTACCTGCACACTCAGGTCTTCCGTCAGTATCTGCACACTCAGGTCATCCTTCAGTATCTGCGAACTCAGGTCTTCCTTCAGTATCTGCACACTCAGGTCTTCCTTCAGTACCTGCACACTCAGGTCATCCTTCAGTATCTGCACACTCAGGTCGTCCTTCAGTACCTGCACACTTATGTCATCCTTCAGTATCTGCACACTCAGGTCATCCTTCAGTACATGCACACTCAGGTCTTCTTTTAGTATCTGCACACTCAGGACACCCTTCAGTGTCTGCACACTCAGGTCTTCCTTCAGTGTCTGCACACTCAGGACATCCTACAGTATCTGCACACTCAGGACATCCTTCAGTATCTGCACACTCAGGTCTTCCTTCAGTATCTGCACACTCAGGACATCCTTCAGTATCTGTGCTCAGGTCTTCCTTCATTATCTACACACTCAGGTCTTCCTCCAGTACCTGCACACTGAGATCATCCTTCAGTATCTGCACACTCAGGTCATCCTTCAGTACCTGCACACTCAGGTCATCCTTCAGTACCTGCACACTCAGGTCATCCTTCAGTACCTGCACACTCAGGTCTTCCTTCAGTACCTGCACACTCAGGTCATCCTTTAGTACCTGCACACTCAGGTCTTCCTTCAGTATCTGCACACTCAGGTCATCCTTCAGTACCTGCACAGTGAGGACATCCTTCAGTATCTGCACAGTGAGGACATCCTTCAGTTTCTGCACACTCAGGTCTTCCTTCAGTATCTGCACACTCAGGACATCCTTCAGTACCTGCACACTCAGGTCTTCCTTTAGTACCTGCACAGTGAGGACATCCTTCAGTATTTGCACACTCAGGACACCCTTCAGTGTCTGCACACTCAGGTCTTCCTTCAGTATCTGCACACTCAGGACATCCTTCAGGGTCTGCACACTCAGGTCTTCCTTTAGTACCTGCACAGTGAGGACATCCTTCAGTATTTGCACACTCAGGACACCCTTCAGTGTCTGCACACTCAGGTCTTCCTTCAGTATCTGCACACTCAGGACATCCTTCAGTGTCTGCACACTCAGGTCTTCCTTCAGTATCTGCACACTCAGGACATCCTTCAGTACCTGCACACTCAGGTCATCCTTCAGGGTCTGCACACTCAGGTCTTCCTTTAGTACCTGCACAGTGAGGACATCCTTCAGTATCTGCACACTCAGGACATCCTTCAGTGTCTTCACACTCAGGTCTTCCTTCAGTACCTGCACACTTAGGTCATCCTTTAGTATCTGCACACTCAGGTCTTCCTTCAGTACCTGCACACTTAGGTCATCCTTCAGTATCTGCACACTCAGGTCATCCTTCAGTGTCTGCACACTCAGGACATCCTTCAGTATTTGCACACTGAGGACATCCTTCAGTACCTGCACACTCAGGACATCCTTCAGTATCTGCACACTCAGGTCTTCCTTCAGTATCTGCACACTCAGGACATCCTTCAGTATCTGCGCTCAGGTCTTCCTTCATTATCTTCACACTCAGGTCTTCCTTCAGTACCTGCACACTCAGGTCTTCCTTCAGTACCTGCACACTTAGGTCATCCTTCAGTATCTGCACACTCAGGTCATCCTTCAGTACCTGCACACTCATGTCATCCTTCAGTACCTGCACACTCAGGTCATCCTTCAGTACCTGCACACTCAGGTCTTCCTTCAGTACCTGCACACTCAGGTCATCCTTTAGTACCTGCACACTCAGGTCTTCCTTCAGTATCTGCACACTCAGGTCTTCCTTCAGTACCTGCACAGTGAGGACATCCTTCAGTATCTGCACAGTGAGGACATCCTTCAGTATCTGCACACTCAGGTCTTCCTTCAGTATCTGCACACTCAGGACATCCTTCAGTACCTGCACACTCAGGTCTTCCTTTAGTACCTGCACACTCAGGTCATCCTTCAGGGTCTGCACACTCAGGTCTTCCTTTAGTACCTGCACAGTGAGGACATCCTTCAGTATTTGCACACTCAGGTCATCCTTCAGTATCTGCACACTCAGGACACCCTTCAGTGTCTGCACACTCAGGTCTTCCTTCAGTATCTGCACACTCAGGACATCCTTCAGTGTCTGCACACTCAGGTCATCCTTCAGTACCTGCACACTCATGTCATCCTTCAGTATCTGCACACTCAGGTCATCCTTCAGTACCTGCACACTCAGGTCTTCCTTTAGTATCTGCACACTCAGGACACCCTTCAGTGTCTGCACACTCAGGGCATCCTTTAGTACCTGCACACTCAGGTCTTCCTTCAGTACCTGCACACTCAGGTCTTCCTTCAGTACCTGCACACTTAGGTCATCCTTCAGTATCTGCACACTCAGGTCATTCTTCAGTACCTGCACACTCATGTCATCCTTCAGTATCTGCACACTCAGGTCATCCTTCAGTACCTGCACACTCAGGTCTTCCTTTAGTATCTGCACTCTCAGGACACCCTTCAGTGTCTGCACACTCAGGTCTTCCTTCAGTGTTTGCACACTCAGGACATCCTTCAGTATCTGCACACTGAGGACATCCTTCAGTACCTGCACACTCAGGTCATCCTTCAGTACCTGCACACTCAGGTCATCCTTCAGTACCTGCACACTCAGGTCATCCTTTAGTACCTAGGACAACCTGTAGTACCTGCACACTGATATACCAAGTGTACTTTCTCGTATCTTTGAGATGTTGAACGCAAACTGTCTGTTTGATTCCAAATACTAAATATAACTAATTAAGATGCGAAGCCCAAGTATGATATGTAAGGGTCATCTGCAATCTTTGCAAGCAGTGTAATTGTTGGAAAAGAACACTCATGAGATGTATGTTTCAATAGGAATACTATCTGTGTTTTGTGGCATTGTCCCTGTCACGTCAGTGAAGCAAGACAGATGATTTGTTCACTGCTGCTTCCTGCTATGTTAGCCAGCTGCAGGTCCTGGTTGAATACGTTTGTGAGGCAGGTTATGAAAAGACAGGTTGGCCTATAAGTTCTATCTAAGACATTGTAGATTGCAGTACATGTAGGTGAGTGGTAAATGTAGAAGATGTATGTTTCAGATACAGAACACCTTCACAGCGGAGTATGGCTGCCTCAGGTTGGGAGACACCCCTCATCACTCCCAAGTTTGATCCCAAGTAAGTAAAGTATGATGACAACAAGATTTATGTAACAATTAGTGCTGATCACACACCTCATTCACATACATCTACTAAGTAAGACCCATGGTCAGAAACATTTCATTCCCAACTGAGAGAGTAGCAAATACGTCTCTCATCAAAGACCATTTCATCTTCCCGAGGCAAGAGAGTTAACTGACTTTAAAAGTCCAGTTTCCACCCTTGCCGAACTAGGCTGGAATTACTGGGCTAGATCGTAGCGCCACCAGTGGCTATTACAAGTTATGTCCTTTCTATGCCTCTCCTATTGACCAATCAGATTCAAACTCTCGTATCACTTGCATTTGCTTCAAACAAAACGGTGGCGCCCAGTCAAGACGATCTGATTGATAATCAAGATATATATTGTGATAAAACGAGTCTTACATCACGAAGTGCATCAAATCACGTGAGCACCTTGATTAAAAACATGAAAAGATATAGAAAATATCTGTTGACAACGAGTTAGCGATGCACATGCTTTGCAAATCCTGCAGTCGACAGAAATCTGCACGACACTTTACGAACCAGATTTCGATTTCAGTGCACAGATTTGATTGGACTATGCATAGACTCGTTAGTCCAGCCAAAATGTAACTCCATAATACCAGCCTAGTTCGGCAAGTTTATAGTCAGTTAACTCTCTTGCCTCGGGAAGATGAGACCATTTGGGCTGCATCACCTTTATGATGTTTGGAGAATCTTTCTGAAAAGCTACAGCCATATTGGGATTCACCTCTTGTCTATTTCCTGATATGTTCCCACATGGAAAAAATGGTTCTCTTAGCCATGCTGTCTTATCTGTGTTAAGTGACCAAGTTGTTTTCACAGCAGAAAGACATGTTTTTAGGAAATATTATTTTTATTTATTTTAATTTTCATAATAATTGTGTTACTAAATAATGTATTTATTCGTATTTCAATACTTTGAATAAAAACATGAGTAGGTATTTCTCTTGTTGAAATAGAAAACAATTCCTAAATCACGACAGTATTAATGCTGACAAGAATATATGCCTTCATTCTAGTAATCATTCCCTTCAAATAATTGGGACTTTTCTTGAAACTGTGCAAAGTGCGATGGAGGTAGGAACGTGTTGCGTGTCGATACCGGTTCCAATTATTGTATGCGCAGCAAACTATGCGAGTTTGCAGACAACTGTAGACAGGAGTCGAGATTAAAATATTCATACCTCCACCGTTGAAGATTTCAATCTTAGCTAAGATCGCGATCTTAACTCCAAGCCGTCTTACAATCACGCTTTGTAAGACCGGTCTGTGAAAGTGGAATAGGACAATTGTATGGTGATTGTAAAGTTGATTGTAGCCGCCTAAGATCGATTGTAACTAAGATTGTTCTGTGCAAGTGGGCCCAGGTCCTAAGTTCTCATGTGTGTCATACAAGGCGATGAGGTCTTCAGTTCCCATGTGTGTCATACAAGGCAGCCGGATCCTCAGTTCCCATGTGTGTCATACAAGGCAACCAGGTCCTCAGTTCCCACGTGTATCATACAATTCAACCAGGTCCTCAGTTCCCATGTGTATCATACAATTCAACCAGGTCCTCAGTTCCCATGTGTATCATACAATGCAACCAGGTCCTCAGTTCCCACGTGTATCATACAATTCAACCAGGTCCTCAGTTCCCATGTGTGTCATACAATGCAACCAGGTCCTCAGTTCCCACGTGTATCATACAAGGCAACCAGGTCCTCAGTTCCCACGTGTGTCATACAAGGCAACCAGGTCCTCAGTTCCCACGTGTATCATACAATTCAACCAGGTCCTCAGTTCCCACGTGTATCATACAAGGCAACCAGGTCCTCAGTTCCCACGTGTATCATACAAGGCAACCAGGTCCTCAGTTCCCACGTGTATCATACAAGGCAACCAGGTCCTCAGTTCCCACGTGTATCATACAATGCAACCAGGTCCTCAGTTCCCATGTGTGTCATACAAGGAAACCAGGTCCTCAGTTCCCACGTGTGTCATACAAGAGTCATCTATTTACAGATTGGTATGATGTTGCTGATATTGCAGATTGTTGCATAAACATCAAGCAAACAAAACAACCTTAATGAAAAGTCATGTATGTACTTATGTAAGTATTGTGTAGTTTATTCATATTGCATTACATATTGTCCTGCTATGTTTGTAGACTGCCCTACACACCTGCTGGCGTCCGAGACCCACGCCCCGGGGAACGCCTCCTCTCCATCACTGGCAGCCCTGTATCTAACCCTGCCGACCCTGCTGTCAAACTCACAGGAAAGGTGGGTAGCATCGCACCCACTTCAGCTGACACTGCCTTCAGATTTACAGGAAAGGTATGTACAATTGTGATCAGACATACTGACCAAATCATCTGGCCAGAACAGAAGGTAGGTACCAGTGCAACCTCTTTATAATCAGATCACAACACAGTGCCTTGGGGTGGAGGTCTTTAGACACTTCCATATGGGTGAGGTTGCATCATATGAACTTTCTATTGAGCCAATCAGCAACAAGGTTCTAAGTCTCAAAGAATTCAGATGAGCATATCTTATTTCTGTATCTGTAAAATGAATAATGAAATTTTTGTTCTTTGAAATTCCTGCATTCTGATTAGCTGAATTGGTCACGTGATATTGCATTCATTTCCCAATGAATATAAAAAATTAAGCCATGGCCACCAAGGCGCACTACTTTAATTACTGCGGAATGTCGGGGAATCCCAATATTACAGTTGAGGGAATTCCCTTTCTGCTCACGTGTATGGTCATGCACAGGACATTTAGCGACTTTCATTGTCCAAACTACCCTTTGAAACCGAAGAAACAGCAAACGTGCAGGGTTTTTTCCTGCTTGCCTCGGTTCAACTTTCATGTCTTCGGGTTTCATTTCTAACAAACATTTTTCCAACTGTGTTTTATCGTAATCAGGGAAGTAATGTTTGAATCTGGTGGTAACTGACCATGTTATTTGAAACAGCCGCCTTCTCCCGGACATATTTCTTCCGGTTCGTTACAGTCTGACTGTTGCAGTTCTTTTCACCTCTTGCCTTAAATGACAGGTCCAATGAACATTGTTTTGATCCTAATCTCCGTTGATTGGCTACTGACTGTGTAGGCGTGTCAAGTTATGTGCATAAATTAAACAGTCACCTGATTCATGTCACGCCACAGTATGTATTTCTACACCTGTAATGTTTATCAATCTATCAGTTTATCAGTCATTTTTTTCTGTTTTGATATATACAACAGTTTTTGGTTAAACTGAGAGAATAAGGTCATGCTATTATGTTGTTGTGGATATTTTATATATCCCATCATTTCCGAGCTCCATATCATCTAATTCTGTTTATGCAAAAGGGTGTACTACTGAGAGAATATTTGTTTCAGTGGCGGTTTTCTGTTGCAAAATATTTAAATTGAGGTGGTTGATAAATGAAGCCGAATCATTTAGAAAGGTGACATCATATTGGCTCAATAACCCACACATCCTTCATGTAGATTCTGTGGTCAAAGTTAGCTCTGTGTTTGTTCACTTGATGTGACCTTCTATGGACAATAAATTGTCAGATGTTCATGCAGATGGGTATCAAATGAAGGTAAAAGATCTGATTTTCATGAGATAAGCACCATTGTTGCTAAGGGTGCACTAAAGTCACAATACATATCACCAAATATTATTACGGTATTAAATTCTTAGATTTATGCTAATTTTGTTACAGCAACGAAAAGAAAGTCACATTTTTGTGTCAGATGTCCATGTAATGTGAACGCAACAGCAATACATGGGCAGATATAAAAGACTCCATGATGTCAAGCCCAAGTATACTGTGTACAGCCACTTACGTCTGGCCCCAGGGATATTGCTGGAATATTGCTAAAGTACTGATGATGTTTGTTCTGCTTTACAGGGTCTATCTTTTCACATCAATGACATTGATGACTTGGAGAATGCTGACATTGACATTCCAGAAGATCATATAAAGAAAGTGCTCAGTGTATTCACCAGCATCATGAATAAAGCCAAACAGTGAAGCTGATGAAGGCTACCGTGTGTTGAGGGCTGACACTTCGGGCTGTGCATGGCCAGTCACCACAGGGTGGAACTCAAAGCTTTGTAGAAACCAATCATTTAACAGTGGTTAGAGCATGAAGTGAGAAATAGGCTTTGTTAGTAACACGAGTTGAGTCAACCACAGGCTATTCTCAATATACATGGTATATTTCAGAACATGCTCGGTTTGTGAAACATTTTTTTATGACCACGGGAATGTTAGTGAAGACGAGTGTTTACAGCCCCAATGAGATGTGAGGTTTATTGGATGACAACAATACAGGCAGCAGGATTCCCTGAAGTGTTCACCTTGTTCTCATGGGAGCAGGGGCCACAGGGCTCCATTGTCTGAGTCGACCTCGGTAGCCAATCGAAGAAGTACTGGTTTGCAAGTTATATGTCACCTACAAATACAAACAAATGCCATTGAGACTGATTATACTTAACTGAAAAGCCAGCTAAAACCTGTGCCATCAAAGTTTCATTTGATTTATTTTCACATGTAAGCTGATTTGGCCTGTTTAATATTGTTGGTTTCTGTTATTTCTGTTAACCATGTCCATTGAATACCGGCACATACTGATGCTTGATGCATCCTGGCCCTGTTCAACAGAATGATTGTAGTGCTACGACTGTCGTAGGTAATGTTAATGTATTGGATCTACAACCGTCTTCGCGTTAAGCCTGCTTTGTGGAACAGGATCCTGAAGTGATGCAATTAGGAGACAGTCGTCAGAGCCATTTTGTCAGCTGCAGAATTTGGTATCAAGCACTGCATTCCTCTTTCAACTTTCAACCTTCAACACATATCACCACATGCTGGCTTTGTATGCTCCCTTTTGCAAACTTGGCTTCATGATACTATTCCTTACATAGATATGCCTGTTTCACTTGGTGGTGCCAACTCCATAATTGTACATCTAATGATCATCAATTGCTGAATATGTGATTTATTGGTAGATCAACTCAAATGCTCTTTTTCCAGTATATTTATGTTGTTTTTTCCAATGTCTTGACTTTATCCTCCTTTGACATAAATAAAAGCTTATCTGTGTAATAAAGTTGTCCTACACAAGTTTCAGCAATAGATTCCTCTCCCCAGTTGATGGTTTGTGTTAAACTATTGTTCATGTGACTTGCACACTGGTTACTGGTTAGACCAAACAAAAATGGACAAATTTAAATATCCTTTCAGTTTTGCTGATTTAGTTAAACTTATGTTAATGTTAAACTTGAAAAATCTTCACTGTGCAGTTTCAAATGAAAGTGACAACTAAGATTGGGTGGTAACAACTTGTGTTTCAAGTTATTATAGATTTGTTGCCTCCAAAGTTGAGTGTATATGGCATTAATCTTCCTGCCTACTCGTGATTGACAGCATCTGAATGAACACACCTTGTTGTGGCGTAATGTACGGGGAATGAGAACAATGCCTTGTATTGAGATGTCGCTGATGTGTCTCTAACGTGAACATGTTCCCCCTCCACTGCCCAGATGACTTCCAGACTTCAAATCATATTAACAATTTTTTTCAACCAGTAATATTGCACTCTTACTCTAATATAGATTTACACATATATGAAATCAGCAATTTGGCTTTGGCTACATTCTACAGATGTCATGTGCATCAGTTCTAGCAGAAAGTTTATTTGATACAGCTATATATGTGTTATTACTGACTTCATCTTAGTAGTTTCAAAAGTGTCGAGTTACCAGCACTTCAGTTTTAGACTATATCAAGCAATGTCTAGGACTGTCAGGGACTGTTTCAGAAGCTGATTCTTGTACCCTATCACAGACCTATGACAGTCATGGTGCTGAGAATAATCTGTACAGGTACACAAATACTGTCCCCTGCACACTAGTTACTAAACAATCCTGAGAAGAGTGGGCTTTGGATTGATCTTCAGTAACCCATGCTTGTTGTAAGAGGTGACTAACGGGATCGGGTGGTCAGACTCGATAAGTTGATCCATGTAGTCGTATCCCAATTGCGTAGATCAATACTCATGATGTCAATCACTTGATTGTCTGGTCCAGACCGGATTATTTACAGTCCACTGTCATTTAGCTGGAATATTGCTGAGAGCGGCATTGAACAAACAAACAAAAGCTACTAAACCTGGAATACTGAATGTGTAACTCCCAATGTGACAGTATGAAATCCACACAGCTCTTTTCCTCTTGCATCAACTGATATCTGTAAATCCTGTCTTTTATATTTGTCGGAACTGTTTGAATCATTCACTTTTGACATTAATTAATTTTGTGTACTAACATATTAGCATGTACTAGAAACACATCAGCTGTGTGCCATTGTCCTGTCTTCATCCGTGTTTCTGTGTGTAGCATGTCTCGCTTCTGTCATGTCAGATACATGTATGGCAATTACATAAAGCTCTTACGCCTCTTATCTTCAGTCACTTAGTTAACATATTTGTTTCAGGCAAAATGTGAGACCGTGAGACTGATGGTAGAAATCCAATAGAAGTATTATTCAAAATGTGTTGTACAAGATCACATGAAACATGTCAGTTGACAGGAATGTGAAGTTCATGTTTTTTACTCCCAAACACCCCTCTCACTATACACAAACAGGTGTAAATGAAATTAGTCAACAGACATGGATTGGGAGAAAAATGGCAGATCCAGAAACCAAGTGATTTAAACAGAAATGTGGCTATTGTTCTATTTATATCACCACTTCATAAACTGCACGTGTTATATATGAGTTGGGAGAAAAGTTTAAAAAGCTACCACTCATTCCAGTTTGTAAATGTCATCATGTAAAGTGTGCTCTGCCAACTAGTGTTTATAAGTGGAAGTGTATCAGTGTTCCACCTTCGCCTGGCCAACTTGTGTGAAGCCAATACTTGCGACAGGCCCGCTTCACAAAACGATTAGCCCTACAATAGTTTTATGCCTTTGTATGGGACTAACCACAGTTGTAGCGTTACAATCACTTTGTGAAGCTGGGCCCTGGTGATTAACAGTGCTCTCCTCATAGGTGCAAGACAACCAGGCTAAGTGTACTAAACTGTGCAGCAATCCTGTTGATGAACCCATCGCTAAATGCATCTGCATTGTCATTGGTCTTCAATAAATTACTCCAAATGTACAAAGTATCGACACAAAAACTGTAATAAAGTGAATATCTAACATTGCCTTTTTGTACTAATATATTTTGGTTCTGAAGATATTTTTTTCATCCCCAAAGAGAACCCTAAAAAATATATGCGCTACATTTTACAGAAAAAATAACCCCAATATTGTATTGTTTTTGACAACATTCCCCAGAATTTTTTGGGTGACAATCCTGAATCGATCGGGGCAGACTGAATAACAGTCTGTTGGGTTGATAACATGAGCGACAAGTCACATGATATATTTATGCAAGGGAGTTAACTGGCTATATAAAAGACCAGTTTCCACCCTTGCCAAACGAACTAGGCTGGAATTTTGTGGCTCGATCATAGCCCTACCAGCGGCTGTTACGAGTTATGTCCCTTCTATGTTGCTCCTACTGACCAATCAGATTCCACCTATTTACTTGCATTTGCTTCTAACAAAATGGTGGCGCCCAGTCAAGGTCATCTGATCGATAATCAAAATCTATATGGTCTATAACTCCAGGCTAGTTCGGCAAGGGTGGTAACTGGACTTTTGTATTGTCAGTTAACTCCCTTGCCTCGGGAAGATGATAGCAATCGGACGTCCTATGAATTGCATTGTAAATAATTGAAGTTGTCATGCGACATCTGAAAGATACTAACCTCACCATGAGAATTGGGTGCCACTTTGTTCTGTTATTACTTTTAGTTGACTTTTCAAAAATAATTTCTCACACAACATAATTCAAATTTAATATAAAATGTTTATTGGGAACCTCAGTGAAGTAGGCAATACTCGTATAATATCATTATGTGACCGAGTGTATAACACCCACGTACATGTACATCAAAAAGCACACACTCGACCTGCATTACAGAATATATACACACTATTACAACCCATGATACAATACAATTCTGCAGATTTCTTCACAACATGCTACTGCAAACATGGTAATGCTACATTAATAACAATTTCAAATGTTTGCAAAAGACAAGATTTCAAAATATTGAAGTATATTTTGTATTTGAATTTAAGATCTGAGTTTAAGATCTTTATAAAAATATTTTCAGTGCTGGCTATTGTTTCTCTAAAGACATTTAAAAGCACAGAGGACGAGTAAATTGTTGACATATATCAGAGAGTAAGTGTTGGGGAATACATAACATGCACTAAAAACAAATCATACATCGACATTGTCAGGTTATGTTTATGCAAGTATATATTACATTTAATTGGGTACCCACCAAAAAATACCATGTCCACTGGAATTGACTTCTATTTTGTTTTAGGTTTATGGAGATATAAAGATAAAAAAAAAAATGATGCTCTCACTGTGTAAATCTGTGTATGAAACAGTGTTCGAAATGTTTAAAAAAAGCTGCAGGCCCTGACTCATTTATTGTAAGAAATAGATGAAATAAAAAATTTCTGTAGGCCATAAAGTAATTTGAAAGTACAAACCTAGAAACATAATCGCGGCGAGTCGCCATTCGAACCCACAATCATAGGTTTCTGGCGCGTTCAAGGTATGCAACTCTGCACAGTGAATCGCGGCGCCTTAGACGACTGGGCCACCCGTGCCCCCCCCCCCCCCATGGGAAGGAACTTCTGTTATTTTACGTTTATACCTCCATAAATGCAAAGCATATTGAAGTCAGTTCTTAAAGAGCCTAGTCGCAAAATAAATTGCACAACAAATCGTTTCAAAAATAGTTTATAAACGACCCATTTATTATGTACATGCAAAAGATCAAGGACAATATATTTCCACATTTTGAAGTCTAAAGAACCAAAACACTGAGATTTGCATGAATGTTTAAGAACAAATTGTCAGTCTTGTGCTCCCTTTTCTTCTAAACCGATATTTCTACATTTGATACAGTAATAACTGCTACATAATTATATCATTGGGTAACAAGTCCGACCTTTGACTGTCTCTTCATTGGCAATGCATTGTTGATAGGAAAAATATCTGCTTCTGAGTTCTCTGTTTTCCCTGGAGTTAAAATCATGTCCAAAAATGAATCTCTAAAGATTGGAAGAAATAACACTCTTTGGCCCTTATACTTCCTAGTATCAAGACTGCTGTTCAAAATATGCCAGAATTACAAGGGAGGTTTGGTTAGTGTCCTAATCCAAGCACAAAGGTGACTATGATACTCCATTTCCAGCAAACAGGAGCAACATACATATAACATGACTCATGCATTTGTACATTGTAACTTTATTTCTCCTCTTTGTAAACCGGTGATGCTCATGCCATCAGTGCTTGGGCACAAGCTGAGGTTGTCATACATAAATTACAGCACTGATCAGCGATCTTTAATAAATAAAAACAAGCAGCTTTGAATGGCAAAACTACGATATATGCTGGCTTTTTTCATGCTCAGGACATAAACAACACATCTTGTTTAAAATCTTGTGAAATATTTTTTTACGTCCCGTAACTGTCAACTCCTTCATATAAATGTATGTGAACAGTTGTCTCTAATTCAGTGATCTATGGCATGTGACAGTCAGTCCAAAACATTCAAAAGTGCTGCACATTGTCAAAAACATTTGGTATGTCAAAAACATTCGGTACAGAGGTAACCTTTTATAAATTGTTGGACGGAAATATCACACAGTTGATAAGAGATTTCATACTTTTGTACACTTTCACAGAAGATCAGGGCTCATGTAAAAATTAAACACAAATCTATTGTGCTGTGCAGCAGATTCAAGAAGTATTGTGACATTGCTAATCCTGTTATGTAAGGTAATGGCATGACCTGGCCAGCATTCCCGACAATGTCACACAACCACTCATAGTTGAGACAGTCCCTACGTCGTAACGATGTAGAGATCATAGGTTCAGTTCACAAATTACAAACACAGGACAACTAGACTTGGGTTGAGATGTTTCACCCCATGAAACTACAATACAGTTTAGTTCAGGAAACAACATTCCTTAACTCTGTCACAGAATAGTAAAACATAAACTCAATGCAGTAAATATATTTGTTCACACATTTAGATACACATTTTGATTGCATACAATACCCTATTCATGTGTTACAGAATGAGATGATATGTTATGTCATAGTCTACAGTAATAGAACCAAAACAGGATACAGAGCATGTACTCTTTCTAACATATATTGTTTCTTAAATCTAGAGTATATTATATAAATGAGGAGTTTCATATTTAAATATATCTGATTAAAAAGTAAATACATTTCAAAGCATTGCTTACACAAAACAGGTTACCGGTATTAGGTGGTATAAGATGAATTTTGGGACTTTTATCATGTTGTTATGGTCAGCTGTCTGTCCATCTGTGACAGACAGTGCAAATACTGCAGTATCCTGACCCTGCTGCAGACAGCTAGACATGCAGGCATCATCTCCGCACAGTAGTGAGGCAGCGTATGACAGCTGCTGTGCAAGTAGTTGCTAAAATATGGACGGTATAATTGACAACACAAGTAGTTTGAGGTTGCTGGGTGCTATTGGGGTTTCTGCATGGAATGTCCACATAATGAGAAGGAGGCTCCGTCAAGGCACATGTCCCCCTGCACAGATTTCACAGTAAGTCCATCACTAAGATCAACCGTCCTGCCCTCCTTGTCCTGAAACACAAAGTCACATCCAGTCACATGACGACAACAAGGAGACCGCGGCAGTGTAGACTAACAAGATTTTAACTACACACCTTATAACTGCTGGGAAGTTACAGAGTACAATCTGAACTATCTCATTTCATCTCCATCCTATGAACAATTAAATAACGCCCAAGCAGTTGCATTGAATCCTATTGTTTGTGAAAGCATTATATAAATTAAAGGAATGTAATGGAAGACAGGCCGACTTTCCTCATTTATGGTTGAAGCAAATGTTTGAAAAGTTAGACAGTGCCACAACACTGTAACTCATCTTGATATGCAGGCAACAGTTTAAAATGTCAACAAAGACAAGACACCTGAACATATGTTACTGTTACCAAATACCAAATTTCATACATTCTGAAGAAATAAGGACGTGTAACGGTTGTGGTAGTAGAATGGATTCGAACCTCAGATTCACTGGTCAAGTGGCTTAGGAGGCGGGGATGCTTACAATGTGAGGGAAAGTATTTTGAGAGCATTTAGAGCATGATCTTAGGGTAAAAGTCAAATATAGGTAAAACATTTCAGTCAGGTGAGCCAATCATAACTGCCGTGATTGTTAATGTTTATAAACTGGTCTTACTTCATTGTACCCCAATTTGCCTGAACAGCATAAAAGACCATGAATGTTTGACTACTTACTGCTCTGTAATCCAAGAACATTTCCTTGAAGGCTAAAAAGTCACTAAAAGTCAACAGTATTTCAAATATTTCTCCTTCCAACTCGTCCTTCCTTTCTCTGAAACAATGAAGAAATTAACATCATTTCTTGACTTCTCATCTCGTAGCAGGAACCCTTTTATTAATACATTTTTTAAACTAATTAATTATGGTAATGACTGACAATAAATAAAATCAGAAAGAAAAACCTAGCTCAAAGCTTGTAAATAAGTCGGAAAAAATTGAAGCCAATGCTTGATAGCATGATTGGCTTGTTTGTTGTTTAATGCTGCACTCAGCAATATTCCAGCTATATGACCGGGGTCTGTAAATAATGGAGTCTGGACCAACCAATCCAGTGATTGATATCATGAACATCGATCCACACAATTGAGATCGATGACATGCATCAACCAAATCAGCGAGCCTGACTACCCGATCCCGTTAGCATACGGCAAGCATGGGTTGCTGAAGACCTATTCTACCCCAGATCTTCACATGTTCTTGATAGCATGAGCAAAGATCTGCACCACTGAGCTCTGATGACACTATCGACTAGACCATTTTGTAAATGGCAATGTGTATTTACACTCCCCATCTTTGTCCCATCCCTTCCCATCTTAGTGTTGGGTACTGACCTATTCTGTCTCCGCATCCCCACAGTATTGTCCTCAAAGCTATCATTTATGCTACACCTCTTCATAATGAAATGTAAATACTCACATGAGCTGTTTTGAGAAGTCCTGCATAGAAAAGCCTGGAATTCTTTTTGACAACTCATCAGATAAATACTTTTCTACCAAATTAACCTGAAAAATAATCAAATTGAATATAAAACACTTCATAGATATCAGAATAGAAACATAGGAATGGCTTAAATTGTTTGGAGATAGTTGTGTAAATGGGGAACTTTTCTTTGGTCTTTATTAACAGTTTGTGAGTATTCACTAAGAATATGTTCATGTATTTATATACTGTTCCAAGATTTGCTAACATGGCTAGGACTAAAACAGTCATCTTTTGTCAAAGGTGTGGTCCTTAGCAAATGTTGAGTAGTATAATATAAGGGTAACGCTATTTTTCAGGGCCTCAGCATTTGCAAAAGCTCAAGGTCTTCCATTAACTGCCCTCCTTTGTCGGGCAGTTGAAAAGACGGAATCTTGCAAAGGCTGATACTACAGGCCAAGGGATATTTTGTGTCTACACTATGGGAAGAGGACGGTATTGCTATCTCCAAGTGCACTAGTCATCCTAGACTAACATTTAGTCTCTGAAAACTTATATTACACAATATCCTTCTTGACTCTAAAAATAAAAAAATTTCCCTATGCTGATTTCAGAATAGAGCTAGCTTGAGCTGGCTAGACTTGCTTTTGTATGCATTTCTAGATTATTATTTTTTCATAAAATAAATATATTCCACGGTCATGGTGCAGGACTATAGTCATCCCTATCTGAACATTTGTTTCTATCATGAAGAAATATCATAAATACCATTAGGGCACTGAATTACTTACATATTCTGTATGAATGTCTGTATAAACAAACTTGTTTTCCTCAGTATCTTCAAATTCAGTGTAGTATTTTTCTAGGAAGTTTCTTTGCTGTGACTGAAATTCTTCTTCTGAAAATGGAGCAAAATCTTAGCTACATGGAAAATGCATGATCCTAAGACAAAAGAGTGAGTATGGTTTTAGGCCCCTTTACTAATAATCCAGCAATATCACGGTAGGGGACACCAAAAACGGGCTTCACACACTGTACCCATGTGGGGAATATTGAACCCTGTGTTTCACCGTGACAAGCGAGTGCTTTAACCATTTTGCTACCCCACCACCTCTAAGACAAAACTAAAGGATAAATTCTCAAATCGATATAAAATATATCTATTTTCCTTCTCTAATTTTGTATAGAAATGCATGAAAAGACTATTACTTTGATGAATTTCTTTTAATATCTTCTAGTATTGTGAAAAGGCAAACATAATTTTTTATTAATATCACTTATGCACAGTTCTTTTCAACGTCACCCCTGAATGGTATGTGTACAGGTGTGTTGACACAACCTTGACGTGAGGTGAAAAGCCGACCAGTGTTATAGCCCCATCAATGCCGAGTGCCAGGCACTGTAACACCAAGTACCATCTAATAACGTCTTTTGGTATGACACGGACGGGGATCAAACCCCAACCTTCCGTTCTCTGAGCAGACGCTCAACCACTGGACAACGGAGGGGGGGGGGACACAACCTTGAAACACATTCAAGACTATCCTAACAATCCAAACCCAATATCATAGGTTTCTGACATGCCGACTGGGCCACCCTAGCCCCTGACATCTGCAGATGACTTTTTGCAAACTATTATTTAAATCCTGCACAATGAAAACTGACGGCGCTTGAGTCGACATAGACAGCATGACACATGTCGTCTCCTTACCCATGATAATATCTTCTATATGTCCTATTGTATTGTCAAATTTGGAGTCCACATCATTGGAGCTGAAATGAAGATCAGTGTTTTCATGTATAAACATTAATGTCAGAGGATATATGATAAAAAAGAAGCCTTCATCAAATCACTGACATTATCAACAGTGCCATGATGGACCAATCAAGTCACTCTTCTACCCCGAGTTCCATGCATCCAGCCTAGTAACTCTGCCACAAACCAGCACTGTGTGCCGATTCGTCACAGTTTACACAGCCCTTCCAAGATATTGCATATGTTATTCATGTTTCATGTTTCCTTTCTGAAGAGTCTACACATTTACATATACATAATATTTTTTGTCATAGAATGAACTTTTATAAAGAAAATATCCCAAAACGTGAAAAACTATTTCCACTTGCGTAGTTTTCCTTTGTATAATTTGGTTGTACGGCTCCACATGCTGTCATCGAAGCCCAGCGAATAGCTAGTGATACGGCTACTTTGAGGTATAAAGATATATTGCCATGCATCTCACTGTCAAAGATGTAGCATATCTATATAATTATGCAAAAAAATATGTAAAGTGCACCGAAAAGCATGCATTAGGTCAGTCTGTTCTGATTTCAGATTAAGCATGTTTGTTTAAAAACAATAGAAAAGTTTTGGTCACATGATATGCAAATTAGCCTGTGGCAGTGGTGTTATGCTAAGTCACCACTGCCCCAGACGTGTGCAATCAAATGTCATCAAAAAGTTGAAATACAATTTCAGCGACACGTTTTGGTCCACTAGTCCTCATAATGATAACATATAGCAAAACCCTTTAAAATGGCAAATTTCTACTAGTCCTTATAATACTTAACTATTGGGCAGTTTGTCAAAAACTACAGGACTAGTGCCAATTTCCAATGCTTCAAATTACAATCTGACTGCAATAAACCTCTGGAATGGCTGTTTCCAAGCTTCTAAACCTCACAAACTGTATTCAGCAGTGCTGGTTAAACAGGGCTTACAGTACATACATGTGGCCAGATTTTTCAGTTGTCATACAAACTATACAAAAACTTTACATACCCAATTCAAATCCTGTGGCAGTTCTCAATGTTGTCAACACCATACGATACAAAGTACATTTTATAAGAGTTTTGTCATTGGTCATTTTCTTACTCAAAAGTAAAATTATGTGTGAGGAAAGAAAACTTAATTACCAGTGGCTCTGTAGTCTTCTTAGATGGAACTGATTTTGTATAATAAAGAAGATAGATGCATGTTGCAAAAACAAGCCTGGAGACGGTGACTTACTGATTGTTACCATGGTTTCAGCTCTATGCTTTCTATGATCATGTGGGCCACTACATAACAAAATGTTGTTCGGGTAGCTTTTAGCTAGACAAAATAACACAGGTCACTTTTAGTATTACCATTCATTAACGTGGCATAATCTTCATTCGATACATAATGTCGTAATGTCAAAAGGTATACAAAAGCTGCAACACTGTACAATTACTTCTGTCTACCTCTTAAAATTTAAATTTGTTAGGAACACTGGTTATTGATATTGTGCAAGGACTCTTCAAGACAGTTGACCACGACCAGGTGTTGAGACTGACCTTGATGTAGCAAGATCTTCTTCCATGAGATCTATGCCTTGGAAGTCCATTGGTTCATGGTCATCTGTTAATGAATGTAATATATTCATTCTAGTTCCTTCTGTAGTGTACATGTATTAAAATTCATCGTTACACAAATAAAACCAGAAAAGCATTTGCTGTATGGCATTTCTGATCATGGTATTGTCAATCGCCGACTGAACAGTGTGTGGTGGCTCAGATGTATCACCATGTTGTAAATAATTAGGAGACATTTGTGTCACTCATAATAACAATATGGCCTCTAATATACATCTAGCGCTGAACCCCCACACCACATATACATTAATAAGTCAAACTCAAAGGAACAGGTATATCTTTAGCTAACCTTTGAATTGAGTGAGTGAAGAAAGTTATCTTAAATCTACATGATGTGAATTCCACTCAACGGCTGCATTATAGGCAAAACATCTCGCTCTGAATGTACGGAGATCCACTTTAGGGACCTCAAGTGAAATCTGCTGACTTGAGCGTAGGAGTATTGAATGACAGTTCTATTTCACTGGATCACACAGACACACTGATATGTGAGTGTGAGGACCTTGTATCATATCCTTTGCTTGACTGGAAGCCAGTGAAGGGACTATAAAATGGAGTGAAATGACAGGATTTCTGGCATTTTTTCCGAATTAGAAAGTAAGTAGAATAAGGATTTCGTAAAACAATTGCTTCAGCTCCTCCCCACCATGCATATCCTCAACCAAAAATAAATGGGAATATTGGAAAAAAGCAATACATACGGAATACAAAGCAGGGTACATATGACATATCAAAAACAATACCGTCATTGACATTGACATTAATGATTTACAATCAACTGCCTTGAAACCAGGTCAGATGACAGAAAGAGGACTGCAGCACAGTTGTGGAAATATAATTTCAACAATAACAAATGTTTATCTCAAACGTTTGACAAACTACCTTCAAATTGCCGAAATAAAGAACGTGTAAAAATGTGTTTCGAATTTGACATCTGAAGGAAATGTCATTGACAACCGAAACAAACTTGATAACATATCAAAACCAGCCGATAACACCATTCTTGTTCCTATTTTACTCACGCATGAAACTAATAATGGTGGTCATTTTCAGTTCTCTGTCGCAACTACAAAAAATTGAAGGGTGATGCCTGCTTCAGCGAGTGAAGATTGAATGTAAGATTTCTAACTGTTTCTGAACTTATAGACGAACTCAGCACGTGTCCCGACAAGCATTCGAATAACAGCTCGCGCGTGACCGCGAGATTACGGCCGCAAATCTAAACTTCCGGTCTCGACGATTGAAAAATTTAAAATTGAAATACCGCATGTCTTCAACCAAAACAGTATGAAATATCGACTGTGACTTCGTTTTCAAACATGGTAACCAGAAAATTGATATAACATATAGTTTTTCACTGTACATTTCTTATTTACGTTTTGAAGGCCAAGTTGTTTTATTCTAGATTGCAGTGTACCGTGTTAGTCCATATAAAACAACATCTATTTGGTATTCCGGATGCTCCTTCCAATGATTTAAGAATGAGATTCGATTGTATCGGAATAGAGAGACACAGAGGATAGTTTTGTTTACCGACCCGTGTTTGCGTTGGATTTGGACGCCATGTTGGCTCTTCGGCGGAAGTTGATATTCTGTATCCTCCAAAATGTTAGCCTATGTTCCGTTTAAGTGAAAAGAGATTTAAATCAATTCGTTTATTTAATAAAATCATTATTGCGATAGGCTCATTTTCATATTTGTGAAAAGGCTTACTATTTATGGAAGTCATATATGGATGTTTATATTTTTCCGCTCGTTAAACCAAATGCAAGGCGTCGGTGGTGTAAAGGTTAGCATGGTTGCCTTCCAAGCAGTCGATCCGGGTTCGATTCCCGGCCGACGCATCTTTTTTTTGTGGATAAATAAATCATTAATTGGATATATCTGTAAAACATGATGACTGACCGTTTGTCTTAATTACGTTTTTAACAATTAGAGGTTATTTTTTACTATTTTGAATATTTATTCATTCAATTATGAAATCGAGACAATATTCATTGTAACCCAACACACAAAGGCGGCTATGTGTTTCTCGTGAAAACTATTTTGAACTTCTAAAACCCGTGGGGTCTCCGGGTAACAATAGGCCCCCAACAATATCTGCTTGTCATAAGAGGCGACTAAATGGATCGGGTGGTCAGACTCGGTGACCTTTTTGATGGCATGTCATCGTATCCGGTGGATCGATGCTCGTGATGTCAATCACTGGATTGTCTGTTCTAGACTCGATTATTCGCAAATCGCCATTATGTACTTGGAGTTGTGCAGAGCGCGGCGTTAAACATAAACAAACGAACTAAGTGTTAGATCTGTTATCAAAGAAGTTGAAATGAGAACATACACAATACAGCAAACAGCTTTCGTGTGTGGAAACGTATTTTATTGGGACCCGTGAAGATCCGGGATAGAATAGGTCTTCAGCAACCCAAGCTTGCCGTAAAAGGCGACTATGCTTGTTGTAAGAGGTGACTAACTGGATCGAGTGGTCAGACTTGGTTGATGCGTGTCATTGTATACCAATTGCGTGGATCTGTGCTCTTGATGTCAATCACTGAACTGTCTGGTCCAGATTCGATGCTGTACAGACCGCCGTCGTAAAGCTGGAATACTGCTGAGTGCGGCGTTAAACAACAAAGAAACATCCAAATATTTACCATTTTACACATTGTTTAGAAATACTGAATATGTAACATATAATTTATATGCATAAATACAAACATTGAACATACAATTTGCAAGCCAACATAATATTTAAAAGTCTATTATTACATCAGTGCTGCACCACAGGGAATAAATACAATGGTTTGCTGACCATTGATCAAGTAATAAGTCTTTTAGATTCTTTCATATCATATTGAACTGGTTGGGGGATACTTTTGTGTTATGTTTCATAATCAAGTTAATTGTCACCACAAAGGACAGTTACATTCAAGACAATAATGGAAACTGTTTTCAATAGTCGATTCACATCATCATGATATTTGATTAGTCAAGTTAACTCTTAACGGATCGGGGTTTACATGGATGCATAAGTTTCGTCTCTACTGCCATAGTTAGAACATATCGGAACGGTTGTTTTCAGAATAACGGTGATATGTTGTCATGGCCAGTGTCACAGTAAATGTACAGAATCAAAGATTCGCAGCGGGAACAGAATAAAAGCGTTTTTAAATATATGCAAAATTATTAATTGGAAATTATTTTGTTTTGTTATTGCGGTTCATTAGATGTGCCGCAGAGAAACTGATGAGAAACAGCAGCTGTTGTTCCCCTGTGAATGTAATTAGTGTATATATACATACGTGCGTTACTGATTCAGCGCTAATGGATCGCAGTGACCATTTGCCACTCGAAATCTTTTTATCCGGATTAAAAGCACAAAAGACATTAATCGTTTTGACAAATCAACCCATTATGAACTTTTTTAACTTTAGTAACCTTTAGTATTTCACCCACATTTGACCTTATTATCACCGAACTACACAGTACCAAGCTGGGTACAATGAACAATTAACGATTGACCTATATACTGCCTCGAGGCGGGACTTAACGTGTTTCACTGTTTACATTTCTCTTTCCATTCACTTCAATAAATCTCGATTTTCGTGTGATTATCCTTCATAAATCATATATTATACTATAGTATTTTGCAATGCATCATTTCGCAAAATGATACGCCGTGCCATTATTTTTTAAGCGGATTTATGTTGACTGGTGACATTGTTTTGAGTTGATTATTTGCAAAAGACACCTATTGGCGTTAAAAATCATAATAATACATGACATAATTTCATAATTTCAGTTACAGTTAAATCAACCACCCTACAACCCAGACTTAGCCCCCAGTGGCTTTTTCCTGTCCCGGGAAATGAAATCTGCCCTACGTGGAAGACACTTCCAGGATGACGGGGACATAAAGGCTGCCACAGAGGCGTGGTCAGAGGGCCAATCTGCGGATTTCTAAAAAGGTGGTATTAAAAGCTTGAAGGAAAAATGGAATAAGTGTATTGAGGTGAATGGAGATTATATTGAAAAATAAAAGTGCAAAAGATATTCTGCAACTTGGTCTTATATTGAAGTTGCAAAACTTATTGAATGCCCCTCGTAATTCTACAAGGGAACCGTCGAGTACCAAGGAACCCTCAAATCTCTTAATTTCAAGGCCATGAATTTTGTCCGTTTGCATATCGGCTGCTATAGGGTAGAGATTGGAATGAGGATGTATTATATATCCTCTGGGGTCTGTGAGAAACTAGGCACAATGTACACGCACTATATTCAAAATATTGACAAAGGTCAATTCTATACGACGATCTTCACAAGAGGTAAATTTCGTTTGATATCTTATTATGTCAAGGTTGCGAGATTCCGCACTATTCAGAAATACTTGTTTCTGCTTTCTTGTAAAAAGGACACAGTACGATAGAATAGTACTCATCTTCCACGAGCTGGTAATTACATCTAGTATACTTTCTGCACAGTATACTTTCTGCAACAGAAGTGTTATAATGGTGATGTTCAATATTCAACTAATGAGGATCGTTATAAATTTACAAAACGTTCGTAACATATGTCCATCGCTGCAATCCTGGACAACCTAAGCATATGAGTGAGTGAGTATGGTTTTACTCCGCTTTTAGCAATATTCCAGCAATATCACGGCGGGGGATACCGGGTCTTTGGCGTGGCGAGCGAACGCTTCAACCACTAGGCTACCCGACCGCCCCTCTAAGCATATACAAACACCGAGGTGAAACAGAAACAACCTTATATTGGACAACTTGGTGTTTTCCCCATTTTTATCAATTTGTGTTGGATGTGAGATATGCTGCTTCTTTATCAAGGACAATCATGACAGACACCCAAACCATGGGAAAATGCGGATATCATATGATATATACTCATGTTCATGGTTCATGGACATGACTTGTGTTAAAATATGTTCTTCGTAAGCGGTCCTCGCGTACTTCTAACCCACACCTTTCTTACATCACAAAAGCGTCATGTACACAAATAAAATACACACTTATAAACATACAGTGTAAGCCATTCTTTACAAATGACGCCTACAACGTTCACTGTTAACCATTGTGGTGAATAAACAGGGTTCAGTGACAAAGTGCAGACATGTCGGACGTGTTGTGCAATGATACACGGCTGGAAGCGCTCATCATGAGCACGTGGGGGCACGGGTGGTCGCAATTCGCGGTGCGGAGTTGCGTCCCTTGGACACGCCAGAAACCTGTGATCGTGAGATCGAATCCCGCTTCGCCCCGATTATGTTTCTAGGCTTGTCAGGCCCATACCCATCCTCGTAAACGCCGGAGACATGCACCACGTAGGGCTTTCCTCCCAAATTAAGCTGACAGGCCGTGATATAACTGGAATACTTTTAAAAGCGGCGTTAAACCCAACCCAATTACTCACTAATGAGCACGACTCAAAGTACGACTTCGGCCATCTGTAAAGACGCGAAGAAACATCGATTTGTCACTGAACATGGCGTGACGCCAATGACGCAACTGCCTGATGGTATGACGTCGTGTCCACTCCATTCTGAATTCTTTTTAGATTTACAGTGGTCTTGATGCCAAACACTGGACGAGGACTGTTTAATTCGCACAGTTCGCTCGCTTAATTCCCTGTGGGTGATGGACCCCAACTATCCCGTATATTTGGCGTCTTATCTTCAGGGGACGTCTACCACGACCATGCTGCAGTTTAACATTACCTCTTTGCTCATGAAAATTCCAATAACTTTAAACGGTGCTTTCTACAATCATTTTCCGCGATACATATATACTGAACCGCAAGAGAAACGTCACCATGGATAGATCAAAACACTGTAAACATACTTCGAGAGATATTGAAAAGATGAAACTTGGCAAAACTGATCATCAAGGTTGAAATTAAAGTGTCAAATGTTCTTAAAGTGAAACACAACACTAGTCTCTGAGAAAATGGCATCACAAGTCAGTATCTCGTGTGTTCGCCATGTGCATTGATGACTGCAACGTCGATACACGAAATGGATGAGGCGGTTGATGAAGGCCATAGGCACTTGAGCCCACACTCTGAGGAACGCCTGACGCAGTTCAAGCTGCACTTGTCGGCCTTGGTCTTTCAATCTCGTCCCACAGGTGCTCAATGGGTTTTAAATCGGGACTGAGGGCAGGCAACTGCATGGTTCTGATGCCA